CACGGGGCTGGCCTGCACGGGGCTGGCCTGCACGGGGCGCGCCGGCACGCCAGATTGCCGGGGCAGGCGCATCCCGACCGGCGTCCCACGGGACAGGGCAGCCGCCAGGAGCAGGGTGGCCGGCAGACTGATTCCGAGAGTCGTTTTCGGCGCTCTGCGACGCCCCATGAGTGCGAGAGAGACAGAGCGATGAAAACGACTCTCAGTCTGCAGGGCGGCCAGGGCGCACGCACAGGATGCAGGGTGGTGGCGGTCACCCCCGTGGCCGGCAGGCGGCCAGGCGAGAGGGAGAAGAGATTCATATCAGAGAAGAATCGCCATCTATCGGATTTGGAGAAAAACGTTGGTAGCGCTTCGCAGGCGGCGCAGGCTAGGCTGCGCAGCCAGCAGGCTTTGCCGGCGCGTCGCTTGCTTCGCTTCGCTGGCGGACGTGCGCACGGGCCATCGGCCATCGGCGGGGAGCAGGACATCGAGGACCGGGCCGAACCGGGGACTGGTGGCCAGTGCCCGGGGGAAAGAGAGGGCATCGGAAAAGGTGGCCGGCCTTTAATTTATTTGCTTAGTTACAGCTAAATTGAGGTGGGCTATGGGGAGCGCCTCGCCTCGCTTCGCCTCGGCCGCCGCCACGCCCTCCCGGCCTTGCTGCCGGCCCTCCACCGCGCCCTCCACGAGCACGGGACAGCGACACGGGTCCGCCCGGACTGGGAAGACAGGGGCATGGACAGGGGTGGGGCCGTGGGGCCGAGGGGCCGGGCCGCGTCGCATCAAGCGGAAATTGGCCGAGACGACGGCGCGGCGAGGCGTGGCGTGGTGGCGCTGCAACGCGCTGTTATATACGACCCCGCGTCGTGGCGAGGAAAAGGCTTCCGTCTCCCGCAAGGCCGCAAGGCTGCAAGGCAAGGCCGCAATGCGCCCCGACGTCCGCCAATCGCCAATCCCCCGCCGGAGATGGCGTCGCCGTCGTCGTCGCCGTCGCCGCGACACTGCACCGCCTGCTGCATCTGCTGCACCGCGGGGCCGGGGAATTCCCAAATCAGGGAAGACTGGCGCCTCGGCGGCCCAACGCCCCACCGCCTCACGGACGCACTAACTTATGTCTCTGGATTGCCTCCTCCCCGTCGGACTGGCGGGCTGGCCGGTCCAGGGCGCGGCGCTGCGGCCCGGCGTGGCATGGCCCCAGCGGCCCAGGACGGGGCGGGACGGGGCGGGACGGGTTGGACCCTTGCACGCCGAGTCGGGGCCAGCCGGGCCTCGGCGAGCACGGGCAGCACGGCCAGCGAGACCGCAGGGACGGTACACCTGCTAAGCGGACGAACACCACGCCACCGCCACACCCTTGCCGTCCCCCGGGGCCGCCACGCCTTAGCCACGCCACCTGCCCCTGATCAGCCCCCGCCAGCCCATGCCAGGCCTGCAGGCCGCCCACTTTTATTTCCCCGGCCCTTCCGGGCCCCTTTGCCCTTTCGCGTGCCGCCACTGTAATTCCAAAATCGGCGGCCCGGTCCGTCCCGGCCCTGATTTGGCGTCGCCGGTTCAACGGGTTGAACAGACCGGGCCGCCGCCAGGCCTGGCCAGCCACTCGAGTCTCAGCCTGCAGGCAGAGATTCCGAGAGGCTTTTTAGTCGCTCAGTCTCCCTCGCGCCGACGGGGCGCCCCGTGAGTGCGAGTGAGACAGGGCGACCGAAACGACTCTCGGAATGAGCCTGCTGCAGCCGCAGCCTCCGCCTCAGGTGAGCGTCCTCCCTGCCTCCCTCCAGAGGGGCGAGTGTGCCAGCCCCGCCTGCAGGCCTAATGGGCCATCCAGGCACGTCTTCAAACTTGGCCAGGTCGTCAGACCGTCAGACCAGAGCCCGGAGAGACGCGCCCAGCCCTTGGCCCAGCCGCGGCGCGCAGGCGGGGGAGGGGGAGGGGGGAAGGGCGCGCCGAGGGGGCCGGGAGGGAAGGGGGCAGGGCCGCGGAGAGTGGCGATGTGCTCACTCGACTGGAGAACGCAAGGGCCGGGCGACCGACGGCCGAGTGGGGGGCAATTCCATGGCAAACTACTGAACACGAACTGGTCAGTGGAATGGATTTGGCCCGCGCCGCGCCGCGCCGCGCCGGGACTCGGATCGGAAACGGACGGGGTAATGCGAGTATCTGGCGAGCGGGGACAAGTTGCACAGTCCCACGCGCGCCCGTCCGCCCAGCCCCCCACTGTCACGGAAACTTTAGGAGGCAGGAAGAATCTGCATCGGTGCCAGGAGTGCCAGGAGTGCCAGGTGGCGAGGGCGAGACGGGGCAGGGAGGAAGGAAGGAGGCGAAAGTTTGGGACGTCCGTCACGGAGAGCGCGGGGAAATGGCCAGCGGCCTCGGCGCCTCGGCCAGCACAATGGGCAGGAGGCAGGACCGGGGCAACGAATGTGGAGCCGAGTGGGCAGAATAACAGAGAGGCGCACAGAGAACTAAAGCCGCGCCGTGCCGCGCCGTCCATTTGGCTGGAATTCGATAATAATGCGGCCATGCGACCCGCAGCCACATCAGATGATTTGGCCGGATGGCGTGGCGCGGCGGCGCGGTGGCGCGGCCAGGCGCGGCCTGTGGCTGCCCCGGCCGGGCCGCCCGGACTGGCCCCCTACGCTGCGCTAGGCTACGCTACGCTACGCGCCCCAAGCCCCACGCCGCGCCCCACGCCCCCTACCCGTCTCGCTGCGGTCCGCGTTGTGGCGACAATGCGTCGCAGGCCCCGCACCGCACCCGCACCCCGCGCCGCACCCCGCACCCCCGCACCCCCGCAGGCACTGGCACTCCAGCACTACGCGGCTCGAGTCGCCAGAACAGTTCAAAAGACAAAACATAAAGCGCGTTGGTTCTGTCTTGTGTGTGCCTTGAACACGCCTGTCTGGGAGCACCAGCCTCACAAAGTTATTGAAAACGTCCACTAATCTTCGAACAATGAAGGTTTCTCTTCATTTGTGTGTTTAACTTGCTGCGGACAACGCTCTCTTGCTCTGGGGCTTCCCTCGCCTCGGCCGGGCAGTGCAGGCAGTGCAGGCACAGCGCCTCGTCGAAGTGACGTCACTTTGACCGGCCAGGCCTGCCACCGCCTCGCGGCTCCACGGCGCAGGGCAGGGCGGTGCAGGAGGCGCGGTGTGCCGACCGGGCAGGCCGACCGGGCCAAGATGAAGATGCGGCGTGCGATTGTATTCGGGGCGGGGCGGGGCGGGGCGGGGCGGGGCGTGGCTTTGCCGGACGGCCGATACTGCACCCGCGGGACGCCCGTAATCCTATTGCCCGGGGGTGGGGGTGGGGGTGGGGGCGGACTGCGGGCGGACTGAGGGCTTTTACTGCGCGATCGGCGTGTCCATGTCCCCGCGGTGTCCCCGCGGAGGCAATCAAACGTCCTTTAATCAGGACACGGCTGTGTTGAGCGTCCAGCGCGTCCGTGGTGATAACTGATAACCGCGTATCAAGTGTGGTCTGGCAGACAACGCCGCCTGGCCACGCCGCCACCACCAGAGAGCAGGGCCCAGCAGACAGCCCCCTACGAGATTACAAAAATAATTTGGCTTTGGCCCCAAATTTGATTGCAGCCACTTCCACGGCCCCAGTGGCCCCAGTGCGGCGGGCCCGCACGCTGGCCGGGCAGCAGCAAAGGGTTGCGCTAGACCAGCGGTTCCCAACCTTCTTCGGTTCGCGACCCCAAATTTGTAACAAAAAATTTCCGCGACCCCCAGGAAAAATTTCGCGACCCCACGCGACCCCTCCTTTAGCATGCCTTTGATACAAAGTGCGATAATCCACCTTAGTTTGGGAGCAGTATTGCCGCAAAGTTGATCAAAACGCTCAGAAATGTCTTTAAAAAATCGTGTTTTGGGCCGACTTTAAGCAGCCACTGCGTCTGATCCGACAAGGTATTTCGTCCTCTTTCGACGGGCATTTGGTCTTTGGACCTTCCTTTAGCATGCCTTTGTTACGGAGTGTGATTATCTGCCTTAGTTTGGGAGCAGTATTGCCACAAAGTTGATCAAAACGCTCAGAAATGTCTTTAAAAAATCGTGTTTTGGGCCGACTTCAAGCAGCCACTGCGTCTGATCCGACAAGGTATTTCGTCCTCCCTCGACGGGCATTTGGTCTTTGGACCTTCCTTTAGCATGCCTTTGTTACGGAGCGTGATTATCGGCCTTAAATTGGGAGCAGTATTGTCTCAAAGTTGATGAAAACAGTAAAAAATGCCTGTGCATGCTATTTTGATCCACTTTGAGACAATACTGCTCCCAAACTAAGGCCGATAATCGCACTCCGTAACAAAGGCATGCTAAAGGAAGGTCCAAAGACCAAATGCCCGTCGAGGGAGGACGAAATACCTTGTCGGATCAGACGCAGTTGCCGCTTAAAGTCGGCCTAGAACACGAATTTTCAAAGGCATTTTCGACCGTTTTGAACAATTCTGCTAGCCGGGAAACAGCCGCGACCCCAGGCGACCCCAACCACCTCGCCGCGACCCCTCGAAATTTTTTTCGCGACCCCATTTGGGGTCGCGACCCTAAGGTTGGGAACCGCTGCGCTAGACACCCCCTCCCTCCGCCCGCCGGGCCTGGCGCGTCTGGCGGCCGCATGGTGGCGTGGTGAGTCCCATTAGATCGCACGCTGCATGCTGGTGACACATGCGCCGCGATGCACCAAGCCGATGCGCTGTGCCTGGTGTTGGTCGGTGTTGGTGTTGTGCAGAGTCGAGGCCCGGCCCAACCCGCAGGGCAGGAGTCTGTGGGGAGACACGGCGCGGGGGGCTCTGGGCTCGCACTCCGCACTGCGGTTGCAGAGCGGTAAGGCCACACGCGGGCTGGGGCTGCAAACCACACCAGTCCAGTCCAGCCTCCAGCCGGTGTTGGGTCCGGCTGGAGCTGGAGCCTATGACGAGCAGGCTCGGCCTGCCTCGGCCCTGCGCCCTCGGGCCTCTGGAGCCGCAGAGCATTGCATACTTTGCGTTGAGCACAAAGGATTGGGAAATAAAACGAAATGGGTACAAGCATAACGTGTATTTATTATCACAGTATGACCATAGGTATGAATTCCCACAATAAAAAGAGCGCTATGGTCGAATGCACTACAAGCAAATGAAAGCAGGGCTAAAAAAATTCACATTATATTAACACTGCACGAATATAGTGTAATATAATGTGATAGGTACAGAGAGTAATTAGCCTATTCACCAGTGCGTCTCGCAATTTAAAAAGTGTAACAAACAATTGCGAGCGAACTTCCAGTAAAGGCTAGTAGGAAAGCTTGATTTGAGTTGTCATAAAAAATATATAATAATAAAACTTGATACAGATAATACCAGTTCAATCAATCACATGCGTCAAATTGATGCACATGGGAAAAAAATCTCTTCCTTATAGTGTACCCTCTGCATTAGACCTGAACCTGTACCTCTTTGAGTATATAAAAGCAGAATCAAAACTTAATATAGACAAATGTTTTTTGATGACCCCCATAAATTAAAATCTTTCTTTATACCTTACCCATAAAGCAACATCCTTTAGCTGTGTGATGTAAATAATAATTGTTCAAGGACTCACAGAAAAAAGCAAATTGACAAAAGTCTGAACACTGGCCAATCGAACTCATTCTTACAATCTTCCCCGATTCCACATAATATTTACCTAAGTACTAACAGTTTCCATTTGGATTTATCACTCACTGACTCCCATGTACAGTAAAAGATAGAACACACATAAATACAGAGTGCCTCCTTACAAAAGTATAACTAATCAAAATAATAGTAAAAAAAAATCTGACTCTGGCAAAAGAGGTTCTGCCTAAAATCCAGCGATATAAATTTAAGAGACACATTGGGTCCCAGGCACAGGTTTATAAAAAGAAATTGTAGCATCAGCTATTAGCCATTAAGAGGCACTCTGTACCTCTGCTTACTTTATAATTATTTGTAAAATAAAAAAAAATCTCACATTCTTCAACAAGGATACAGCAGAGACTTGAGTGATGTCACTCAGTGATCACAGTTTTTACTTTGTAGTTTGTTAATGATTCTCATCATTGGTATCAATTGTAAATGTTTTAAAAATTAATGCAGAATGCACATCAGAAGAAATACACTGTTAAGCCAGGGTATCTCATAATAATAGGCGCATTTTTCAACAATGAAAAACTGGTGTTTTCTCTTAATCTTAAGTCTGCGAGAGTCTGTGAAAAAACAATTTTCAACATGTGCAACCTCTGTTAACGCCAGTGTTAAGACCCCAAAAAGAAACATTCACAAAAGTTAAATTAAAGGTAACAAAGCAAACCAAAGTACTCTCATTAATATCATTCAATGTCTTCAAAATAAAATTGTGAACTTGCTATTTTGTTTCTCCAATCACAAAAATTGATTTTATTTTAAGTGAACTGATGGTTCTAATCAATTTATCTCTGAAAATGAAAAGAACACTATCCTGCTGAATTCACAGTTTAAAAACCTAATGACAAGATTACAGAACTATTCATAAATAGTGACCCTGTGGGAGTAACGTTTTTCGACGTTCTACGTCATATAAAAATAAAGATTCATACAACTCTTAAGATTCTTACAATACTGGACCAATAAACAGGACATTACGGTCAACTGTGACAAGTTGAGGAAAACAGAGAGAATAAAAAAGTTTCAGGATGTTAACAGAATGGCACTGTCTGTACACTTGAAAATGGAGTTGAACTAAAATTTCAACTTGGTCAGATCAGTCTTGTTTTTCATCAGAAGAGCAGTCAAGTTCTTCCGTGTCTCCAGTCCAAAAACTTCAAGAACATCTCTGTCCATACAGGCAAGTCTGGAGGTCAAAAAGGCAGAGTTAGTTTCAAAGAGACTAGAATGAATTGAAAATGTTATTCAAATTTCAAGACAAACCTTCCTCCAGATATTCCATGTAAAAAGTCCCAATATGATGGCCGCAGATTCTGAGGCTCCCAGATGGCAGCATGGAAAAGCAGAGCAGTTGAGGTGCAGTACAGTAAGACTCCTGCTCCAGGCAGTTGGGGAAGCAGACCGCGAGACACGGCGCGAGCATACAAGATCTAAGGAAACCAAATGTATGTATCAGTTTTGCCCCACAGTTTCACAGAATTATTATTTTTAGCACAAACAAGATTATAACTCACCTCCATTAATTTCCAGAAGGCATAAAGAGCAACAGAGTTATCTCTGTAGCTCACAAAAGCTAATCCAGCCAATAGTCCAGCTGGAATGGCATGCGCAGGAGAATCAGTGTTCCGAATCCATCGGAGAGCACAAGATACTGTCTGAAAATTAAAAAAAAAAAAAAAACAGTGCATTAGAGACAATAGCCACATCTAAACAGGTCAAAGTATAAAACTGTTAGTCTGAATTTCACTTACTCTGAATATAGCAGGAAATCCTCCCAAAAACAGACCAAGACTGAGCATTTTCTTATCTATTAACATTCCAGGAATTTGAGATGGATTTTTCATCAATCGTTTTGCTCTTAATAGAACTCTCATGCAGAACTGCAGCCCATACCCTACAGCAAACATTTTTAGGCCCCCCTGGTTTGGGATAAAAACAAATCATTAAAAGTATTTTAACATCCCATTACAACAAGCAAACACAAACAACACCCACCTTAACAGAATAACCAACACATGATGAAGGATGAGGACATGTTGAATGTCTCTTTAACTTATTCATCAAACAATAATAAGGAGCCAGAAAAGATTCCAAGCACTCAAACAATGGTCCTTTTGGTTTGTGAGGACGGTTTGATGGGACAGGAGGAGTGTCCCGGCCTGTGCCAGTGGCGCTATATTCTTCATGAGGACCAATGGCTACCCTAAACAAACGGATACCAGAGAGAGATACATAAATATATTACAGTAAAGATCATGAGAGATTGTATCTGACCATGAAACATATGCTGAGTGAATCCTTTACCTCAGCATAGAGAATATGGAATCTTTGCTACCATGTTCACTGCGATACATATGTAAAATTGCAGCAATAGAGGATGCAAAAATAATAACATCTCCATAAGGAATGGGACGAACAATTTTTCTCCATACTGCCATTCGAAACAAAGTTTCTGATGCCTGCAACCATTAAAAGGAATTGTGAAAGATTTTCTTTTTGATGAAGAATATATGGGACAAGGTTTGGTATCTTAATTGTGTACTTACCACATTAGTAACATAAAGAGTAAGGAGATTACGTCGAGATGGCCTTTCAACTAAAATAGCTACCAGACTAGCCATGAATGATGGGACAAATGATATAGTCAGGAAATTGAAATTTCCCATGATGGCTCTGAAAGAATACGGAAGACTGCTTACTTGTCCAAATGAGGATAAGACATAAAAATAAATAAAATTTTTGTATTTACCTGAGGAAACAGAGAGATAAAGAATATCCAAAAGCATTAGCTGTCAAAAATGCTGTTGACTGTAAAATTCCAAGAAAAGTGTTCTTTAATTTCTGAAGACTTGGAACTCTCCGATGCATCAGCAAACTCAACTGCAACAAATGAGATTAAAAATTACAATTTCCCCTTAACACTCTAACAATTAAATTCCCTGTCAGGTAAGTAACAGACAACATTTTAAGAGAAAAGGATAATGGACGGAAAATGTTTGAAGTTGACAAATTGTTATGGGAAACTCAATTTCAAAAACTTATAACTCAAACAAGAACCACAAAAGTACAGGAAACGGGAATATACTCATCAGAAATTCGCTAGGCGCGAGGGACAGTAGCTAACTCACAAGAGCAAACACGCAAACAAGGGTTGAACAACAAGGCACGGACCGAAGGACCAGACAATAACCTCACTTCCAGCGCATATTGGCAGGATCTTACCATATAAACAGTGAAGTAAAGACGTCCAGAGTGTTGAACGGCGTGGAAAAATAGAGAACATGATCCATCGGCACAGGACTGCGTCCATGGATGGACATATTCCATGCACGTCGCGTCTATAGTTTGGTATTTACTGAGAATACCCATGGTTGTGCTGGTGCACTGGTGCTCTGCTTGGTGACGAGAAAAGCGGCACACTTGTACAGGTAACTTGATTTAGTGGCTACTTAGTGCTGTCGTGAGCCGACATTGAACTGCCGAGATGTGGACCGTTTTCCCTTAAAGCGGCAGGATAACAACCTCACGGTTTGTCTGCAACATAAACATAAGGTAAACCGTGTAGGTCGCGAGAGGTTGCCGTCGTCTGTCTTCTGCTGTTCTGTTATTCTTGGTTCCTCGGCTCCTTGAAATTGCCTACATTCAGGGGACAACATACAGCGCTGCGGCACGGACATAATGCGAACTACTGATATGGCGGGAGATTTTGAACTTGGAACATTTCAAACAAGGTTTGGGAAGTGAATTTTGATCCGTGTGACCTAAATTTCAATGAAGATGCTTCCCATGATTAAATATTGTGGCCTAAAGTTGATCCCAGGCACATGATTGACTACTTTTTGGTGTTCCCAAGAGCTCGGGTTGGGGTGGTCCGACTAAAGCTTTCTCGACATCTTTTATTTTAGACCTAATGTTTTTTCTTGAATTATTGATTGACTATTTTTGTGTTTTGTGATCACTGATCATGTTAACCTAATGTTTCATTAGAACTTCAATGTTACTTCTTCTTGAACAATTGAGTGAAAACTTATTTATGCAGCTCCTTTTTTCTTTGACTTTTTGTACGCAAATGAAGTGAAATATTAATGTTCCTCACCTTTGTTTAAAATTTGTAGTAATTAAATCTTAATATATACTAACCAGTCGTTCACTTGCTCGCCCTTATCACAGTTCATAAAGAAATCGACACTACAGCCATAATTCTCTCTTAACTGTGATAATAAGGGCATGCAAGTGAACGATTTGTTAGTATATATTAAGATTTAATTAATACAAATTTTAAACATTAATTTTTCACTTCATTTGTGTACAAAAAGTCAAAGAAAAAAGGAGCTGCATAAATAAGTTTTCACTCAATTGTTCAAGAAGAAGTAACATTGAAGTTCTAATGAAACATTAGGTTAACATGATCAGTGATCACAAAACACAAAAATAGTCAATCAATAATTCAAGAAAAAACATTAGGTCTAAAATAAAAGATGTCGAGAAAGCTTTAGTCGGACCACCCCAACCCGAGCTCTTGGGAACACCAAAAAGTAGTCAATCATGTGCCTGGGATCAACTTTAGGCCACAATATTTAATCATGGGAAGCATCTTCATTGAAATTTAGGTCATACGGATCAAAATTCACTTCCCAAACCTTGTTTGATATGTTCCAAGTTCAAAATCTCCCGCCATATCAGTAGTTCGCATTATGTCCGTGAGGTAGCGCCACGGGTCGCCGATGTTAGCAGCAGGCCAGAGGAAGCTAGAATTCACACAAACATCACGCACACACAGACACGCACGCACGCACACAGTCACACCACCTTTTCAGCGCGCGAACGCGAACAAAAAGAACATGCCGCGTACAAGTTTTTTGTACAGTAAGCCGCTGTTCGCATGGGCCCGCGAGTCCAAGATTTTTTTGTTCTTTTAGTTGCGCGGCGCACGGGCGTAGCGGACGTTTTCTAACGTGACCACGAAGTCCCCTCCTGCCCCTGCCCCTTGCATTCCCTCCACCCGCCCCGCTCTTCCCCGCCCCGCCCCGCTCGCGGGTCCTCTAGTCCCTCTACTCTCACTCTATCGCCTCTATCGAGCGCTCAAAGTCAAAGGCCGCTCCAATTAACACTTTTGTTTTCATTTCTGGAGGCGCCACCCCACTCCACTTGGCCGCTCGGTGCGAACGCGCGAAGGCGGGGAAAGGCGTGACTTCTTTTCTCGCGCTGCTAGGACACTAGAACTAGCGCCCGGTGCAGGTGCACGCGGTGCACGCGGTGCACGCGGTGCAGGTGCTCGCGAACGACGTCCTTCCCCGCGCACAGTGCGCCTAGCCTAGTGTGCTGCGCGACCGCCGTGCAGGGTAGGCAACCCAACGCCCGCCGCCCGGCTCGCGCCATGCCCGAGGATTAGAAAAATCGCTTCCTCGCGTGTGGGAACTGAACTGCAGACTGATTCCGAGAGTCGTTTTCGTCGCTCTGTCTCTCTCGCACCTGTACGGGACGCCCCACGAGTGCGGGAGAGACAGAGCGACGAAAACGGAATGAGCCTACTGGCGGCGCTGCTGCGGCGAAGGCCGCGACCGGATTCAGAGGCCAGTGTCAGGAAACGGCGGGGCTGGCCAATGCGAGCTGTTCATGGCCGACTAGTGACGCCAGCACGCGGCGATTCACTACACGATTCACACATAGCATGCATGGATGAGGCACGTCGGTGCAACGCAATAAAATTAGCGCTGTTAGTGGCACAAGCACGGCAAACAAAAAATTGAGCCCACGGTGCTCACGCCATCCTTCACCTTCATTCGGAGTGCACCCCCCACCCCCTCACAAAAAAGGCCGCCGTACGTCACGGCACAGGCAAGTCACAGGCATGAAGCACAATCGGACCTGGTTGCTTTGCTGAGCCGCGCACTTCCAAGACGCTGCAGTGAGAACGAGCCCCACAGGCGCAATTACCATAGAATGCCGAAATGAGAAGCACTGCTTCAAGTCGATATTTGCAGACGGGAGTGCGGAACGAAATGACGCGAAAGCAAGCGAGTCCTGACCGACAGCGATTCCCTGGTGTGGACCGGTAGACTGATTCCGAGAGTAGCTTTGATCGCTCTGTCTCTCTCGCACTCATGGGCGTCTCGTAACTGCGAGAGAGACAGAGAGGCGAAAACGGCTCTCGGAATCAGTCTATGTGGACCGGACCCTCGTTAGTCTGGACACGACGCGGCGCGCGCATCGCCCGGCTCACAGGCCCACAGCAGACTGATTCCGCACAGCGTGTCGTCGCTCTGTCTCTCTCGCACTAATGAGGAACGCCGCACGAGTGCGGGAGAGACAGAGCGACGAAAGCGATGTTCGGAATCAGTGTGCAGGCCCGCAGCATCGGCGTGGTCCACCGCGGACTGCTGTGGGCCTGACAGTGGGCCCACCACGTACTCACCTCACGGAGCGAGGAGCCAATCCGGAGTGTGCCGGGCGAGTTGTGTCTCGTCGTGTCGCGGCCAGAGTCAGGCGGAGCGCGACGCCCCGAGTGGTACTTCCCTGGCGGAAGTCTCCGGACCATTCGGATGATACGCGAACTAGCCCAAGCTCGGCCGTTTTCCAGAATCAGTGTGCCGTGCCAGGCGATGCCGGCGATGCCGCGACGAGTGACTTGCCGACTCCGCCGTTTGCCTCCCACCGCTTAGATACGCTGAGAGACCGCTCCACGCACACGCACACGCATTGCAGGGTGCCCTGGGTGCCCCTCTAGGTGCCCCCTCCCCCTCTTTGACACTCACCTGGACTTCACTGTTTCGACAAGTGCCGCTAATAGTGCCGTGCCGTGCCCCTCGCGGGTACGCGTACCGTAACGTAAAGGAGTGCCCCGGGGTTTTTCCGCTCTTTTTGTTAAACTGTTTCTTCTTTGACACCGATTTCGCGTCAAGAGCGTCCGCTCCGTGCCGCTGCTCTAGAGCCGAGCTCCACGAGGCCGCGGTGTGTACTCTAGGGACCACGGACACCCTATGGCTGTGTCGCCGTCGTGCTGCCTTGCACTCCGTATCGGGCGTGGCTACTTATCTCCATAGATCGGACAGTATGCGGGAGGGGGGAGGGAGACAGAGAGAGAAAATGTGGAGTGGGTGTGGCATGTTACCGAGTGATGACGGTGACAACATAGTCTTGGTGATCGACTACTCTTATCTACACCTGGCCTGTCCATATCTTACAGGTACAGGGGGCGAGTGGCTCGACGATGTGTCCGCTATCCACACCCGTATCACCCCACACTCGCCAAGTTACTACCTCCCCCTCCCCACGTGCACCTTTCACTGTGCGTGGTTGCCAGGCAACGATGTGTTGCCCCTAAAATGTAGCTGCCACCAACATTGTTTACATGGCTCACACGCCTACGGGGTGGTCAGTCAGCACATAGAATGAAACTAATACCTCTGATGGCAGTGTAACACCATTTCAGGACCTGTTTGTCTACTCAGAAAGCAATGGCCAGAAAAGCGCTTCATCTTGTCGTAGATTTGGAAATACAGGCTGTACTGAAAAAATCCAGTTCAAAAGTTCACCTTGCTGTTAACCCTTTGCCCTACTAAGTGAGTGTTTTTACAGGTAACATGCCCAGGAGTATGGCTCTGTCCCAATGGGAACGTGCAACTCCTCTTTTCGATGTTGGGTGAAGAAGTGCAAACCAAAAGACTGCCCCCAGTGTTTCCTTTGCTATTCCATGAAAAACATGTTTTTGAGAAGGTCAGTAAGAGGAAAGCACATTTTGCCCTCATCTAAACATTTATTTGAGCAATAATCTTAATTTTAATTTCCTCTCTCAGACATTTCCAAGTGCTGGTTGTCTAGCAGAGGTGCAGGATACTCTTGGGCGGGAGAATGTGTATGCTGTGTTGATTCAGGAGGTGGAAGGACCTAATGGAAGCGCTGCTGTCCAATTGGCTCGGTTCCACAGCAGTGCTTTGCATATTTTGTACCCTTCCCCCTGTTCGAAGGGACTTCTAGCCGGAGTTGATGTTGACTTATTGATGGAAGCATCAGCAGATTTCCCAGTAAGTAGACAAAATAAGATGGAAAATTAATTTAGTTTGACAATGAAAAGTTACATGATTTACATTATTTAACAGGGAATATTGAGTCCAAAAATTGAACTGTCAACAAAAACAATAGTCAAAGAAGTTGCTAGTGCTGTTCAAGATGGATATATAATTAATCCCAAAACATTAAGTTCTCAGGTAATAGTGAGAGAAAACTAAAAATTCTAAGCACCTGAAAAAATCCATTCTGTACACTCACAAAAATAAGAGAAAATAATGGCACCTTTCTTTCAATTTTCTTGGGTGGTTTCAGAGAATATCCTTGCGCCATTGTGCAGAAGGGGATGTAAAAACAACTGATCCAAGAGGAAAATTTAGGATAAGTTCCACAAGACAGCCTGAACAAGGTCAGAAATTTAAGCATGGTCAAGGCTCAAGTAACAGTTGGGCAATACCCAGGTTTGTTCATACTCATACCATTTTGTAGAGTTTGAAAAGCATTATTTCAATAATTCTGGCTGATTTATAAATTTGTTTAGGGTTCCACCAAGTCGTATGCAACACCGAAGTAGTCATTCAAACGTCAATGCACATCCAAATAGACATCTACACTGCACAGAAAAATGTGGATTACAAGAATGTAAGTCACAAGTTCAGAACTTTCATTCGTTATATTTCCTTAGGCTCACATTCTCAGTTACACCTACTTATTTTCAGCTACACAAGACTGCAATGAATTTTGTCACTGTGGCACAGAACACTCAGCAAGTAAGTGTCCTTTGTGCATGCAATACAAAAATGTTTTCAGCTCATTCTCGGATTTCAAAGTAAGTGATTTCATCTCATACACACATCAGCTTTCTCTCTTAAAAAAACAATGCATTGTATGATTGTGGATGATATAATTTCTAGGATACTCAACAAGATCAATACAGAAATCATCCTGCAGGTATAACAAAAAAATATTGTTGAACAATCTGTTTGATTGAATGAGAGCATAATAAATTTGTTTTGCAGGATGCATGAAAAAATGGCCAATATCTGCCAAAATTGAAAACACAAACAGGTATAGTAATTTTATTAAACCTCTCACCTTTACTGTGGAAAAAAATGCTGATAATTGACTGATTTACTAATCACACAGGCTATCAAAGTCACTTCATGACCATGTGGATCGAATCTTAGAACCTACAATGAGTAATATACTACATAATAGGGATTTTAATGCCTATGCCCCTTTCTCTCAATCCCAGTAAGTTCTAATACATTGTATTCATAACAGAAAATAAGTCACTAAAACGATTTCACAAAAACGATTCATGACAGGTCCCATCACGGAATCAGCCAGAGAAAGCAGGAGTCCAACATTACAGAATCAGTCAAGAAACCATGTGAATCAGACCCATGTTTTCAAGTCAGCTGTGGTAGCGGCGATGAATACATTTCGCATCGAAAATTATTTTATGCTAATCTTGAGAAATTCTACAGAAAACTTTATGATCGAGCAAAGAGCAGAGCACAGGAAGAAAATTGTTCTGGGACGAACGGGAATTAATTAATGACAAACTTTGTTAAAACTGTGATCGAAACAACTACACACCAATTCATAAGAAGTAAAACGCCTTGGTGTTAAGTATTTATTCATTAGCTATTCACACATAATAGAGCAGGTCACTAAAGCTGTTGAGTTTACTGCTCTCTAAAAACTGAATGAACAGTACACATGCAGTGCAGAAAGTTACAGAAAATTCAATATTTGTACACACTCATGCTATAAAGTACTTATGTCAATAACTTAAAACTAACAATTTAAATAGTTCTAACATGAATAATTAAAGTACTAATTTACAATGTTCTGATTTTATAATAATTCATTTATTTTTCTTATGGTATATTTATAAAGGAATGCCACTACAGAATAAACCAGTACAAGAGCAAAATTGCAGGCTTATATTTTTATTTTATTTTTTGTTTTTTCCCTTAGCAATTATTAAAAAGGCACTATAGTATCGCCCTCATAAACCAGGCATAATATATGCAGTGTTGTCAAGAAGTTTGCTGAGCATGTCTTGAGTGCACACATCAGTTTGGGGCACTTGAGATGTGAGACACAATAAAGGGCCAAGCACACAGAGAAGAGAGTCAAGGAGAACAGATAAACTACCTGAAACAGCAATCTGGCCCTGTAAAAAGAAACGGCAGTTGTAGATGGGAACAGTAGACATTTTGCAGCGCTATTAAAACTGACAACTAATAAATGCTAGATTATAATGATGAGTTTTTTTTTTTCCCAGAATACTTACCTCATGTTCCTTCAGACGCTCGCCGATAATTGACAGAGATTCTCCAAGGAGCTTTAGGTGCGCTGCAACATCAACTGGCTGTGTCCCAACCACCTTGTAAAGACCTGGCCCAACAACCGGCTCACTCACTAGTCCTTTGCCCCCTCTGTTATGAAAGAGCGGAGATCAAAATTTATAACAATAAGAATGTATAATTCAACCAAGACACAAAATAAGTTTAACTAAATACAGAGATAAAACATACCGGTCTGGGGGAGATATAGACATAGAAGCCAATGCTGCTGCAGTATTGGCATGAGAGTTGCGGTTTTGTTTCGTGGGAGTCTCTCTGTTTCCAGAGCCACCTTTGTTGATGAACTTAGTCTTTGCAGGTGGAGGTGGCTTTGTTCTTTTCATATTAGGATGTTCTAGTGTGCCAGCACCTGTGCCTGCAGATCCTTTCGAACCCTTATTAGCTAGGCGGTCGGCACGTCGTTTCCAGCTCTGCAAGTCACCAACCAAAGTGAAAAAAAAATTAGAAATCTATGAAAAAGCAAAAATAAATCAACATCTTTCACGTCACATACATATTTTTCACTGTATGGAACTGTTGCCCAGAGTTCACCAAGGCGTTTGCTCATCTGTGCAAAATCTGAAATCACAATTAAGCATACAAGTTGCACATTAAAAAGGCAAAATTGGGAACAAGAACAAACAGAAAAATAATTTACCCATCTCAGGATGTTTCCTTGTTAAATCTTGACGCACTTCTTTTGCCCACAACATATATGCAGTGAAACGAGTTTTCTAGAGAAACGAAAAGAGATGTGTCAAAGCAATTTAACAAGTTACTTTTAAAAAAGTCAGGTAGAATAATGACAACTTACTCCTTTGTCTTTCCTTTGAGCTTTCATACGTCCAACAATCTTACCGTCCCGAATGATCAATTTCTTTTTAGAGGACTTTTCAAGCATGTACAGGGACTTAAAACAAAGGCGAACAAGAAAAATGATTTTTAGGAAAAAATCACCAATTAAAAACTCATGTTTTCTATGTTATGGGAAAGATGAGAAAGTTACCTGAGCTGGCTGAGCCTCTGCAACATCGATTCGCTGAAAACCTTGATGGCTTTGCTGCCTGTCATCCATCAGAGAGTCATCCTCCATATCATCTTCACTTCCTGTAGAAATTTTGTTAAAATGTAAGAAGATTTTTGAATGCATTAATTAACAAGTAAAAATTTCCAGTAGTAAACAGTACCAACCCATAGATTCTTCCATACTGAAATCATCAACTCCCTCAGGAGGTGGATACATTTCAGAATCTGACTCACTGTCAGATGTGCCATGGTCACCTTGAAGCTTCACGCCAAATCTTGCATCATCCTATATTCAAACACCAAATAAAAGTTAACTTTGTACAAAAAAACAAAACAAATGCCAAAGTATAAGGAAAGAAATTTATTTACTTCATCAGACATTTCGGGTTCAGGATCCATCTTTAACTGTTGTTGTGGCATGGGTCTAGAATAGTTAGCCGCTTTAGGTGTCTTCTTGGGTGGTGCTTGACTTCTCGAGGGAGCTGAAAATAAGAACAGTAAGAAGAGAAGTTCCAAATCGTAGCAAGAGTTCAGAAACACAGGTCATACACTTACTAGGCGACACCATGGTGTCAGCTTTAGTACCACGCTTGACACGGTAGTCAATTTCATCAGGGGATTCAAAGTCCATGAGTTTTGATGACTTTTTCCTCACTCGGCCAGAGCGAGAAACTCCTGTCACTTCCAAATCACCTACAAACCATAAAATTAAAATTTAATTAATGTTACTCCTTTAAGGATTTTGCTGGGGGTTAGAATTGATGAGCGAGCTCTAATGACAGGGTAGTCCATACCTATCTAGAGAGTAGGTTAATGCTACATAGTGATAGTGAACAGTGCTACAACACTGGTGTCTGATGAAGATGCAGGAGAAAATAGGCTAATCAATGCAACACCACATATTTACAGAACTTTTGAAAGATTAGTATTTATTCACAAATTCAGGGAGATCAATATTCACAAAATCTAATGAATTGTAAAAAATTTGAACTCAGTAACATATGGTTTTAAATATAAAAATAACAAGTAATAGATCTTAAATATTTATGTTTTCGTCTTCTTGCACCCAGCCATCATCATCTGATAAAAATCTTCTTTTAGCACTTGTATTCATGTAAGGTCGTAGAGCCCATTCAGTATCTGCAGCACCTTCATTGTCTAGAGTTCCTAGTTTGATCTCATACAGCTTGAGCTGGAAGCGTGGTCCAATTTCTGATAGTTCAACAAACTTTCCATCCACCTGAAATAATTAATATAACATGAAGATGACAGTGCCAAAATGAAATATTGTAACAAAATATTTCACGATCTAATTAAAACAACAATAATTACCTTCCGATACATGTGGTGCCGGAAAGATATGTAGTCATCATGGTTGGCAAATGTGATGACCCTCTTGCTATCCTCTTTTGGAACAGGGTACAGATGTTTGAGAATGCTCATGACTCTCAGTCCCAACTGACTTCTAAAGTTGTGAAATACTAGATGAGGAAACTGTTCTGACATTGTGCCAATGTCTGGAATGTCATGCCGCATCACCACATCAGACAAGGTGAAGTACGCAGTGGGACCGTAGGGAAGATGGCAGACAGTGAGAGCGTCAGGCACACCACGATGTTCATGTACAACGATGAAGTCAGTCACATCATTGGCCCGACATGCATGAATCAATTGTTTCATTTCGTAGTTGCCTCGATTCATTCGCTGGGCGTTCGGAAAAATTAATCTTAATTCTTTGACAAACATCTTTAGTCGTGATGAAGGATCTCGGGATGTGGTTAACATAATTTTGGGGTCCTCAACACCAGCCCAGCGATATTCATCATCTTCATGGGTACCACCAGCACCTCCCATTTCAGTTCCAATTGCAACCGCTTTTTGAGGGCCTTCATCTTCCCACTCCAGCTTCTTCTGGAGGTGAAGTGCATCCTTCTGCAATTCTGTATGGATTCGCGTGCCTTCCTCCAAGCTCCTCTTGAGCCTGTCTTTCTTGGTTTGAATACTTTTCTTACGATCTTCTACACTTTTCCGGTACAGGTATTCTCGACGTAATCTGGCTTGGCGTCGTAGCATGTTGACGGTGAGTTACTTCAAACCCTATCTTAAAAATATCGCTTGTGACTAACCAAACACAAAAGCCGTCACACGTGCGTTCAAAACACTGGACGCCATGTTGGTTCTCAGCACCAGGCCAACTTGCCGATATCTTAAATTTCATAAAAATAAATGAAAAGTACATTTTGGAAATGATTGTGTACCTGCGTGTGTGAAACAAAGATTTAAAGTCTAGCGTCGCTAGAGAAACGAAAGTTTAAGAACTGCAGCAATACTTAAAGAGATTATTGATAAATTTGTGTGATACACGTTGTCATGTTGGTAGGACTACCCCGCATCAAAACTGTCTAATGGTTGAGGTTATGTTCGTATTTCAAGGGTTGCAAAGTGTTCGAAATACATATGAATCCGTAATTTACTACTCACCTTCCTGTTTGCCTTTGCCTTTCGGAGATGTATAGGAGTCAAACATGTCGCTGTCGTCCATACTCTTCTTTTTTCGGCCCTTTTGAAACCGATCCATTGCTCCCGCTAGATACTACGACTCACTCGGAAAAATTGATAGCAAGATTACTTTAGTTTGACAGCCACAAGTTGCTACACTTAGGGCTAAATCAGTCCGTTCCACTTGAAATTTTGGGTTATCTGATGTGTAGAACAGACTTCTAAACAGACTAGAGCTACAAACACGAACTGTGGATTCAAAATTCAAAACAAACGCGTCTCCCTTTCTATGAAGGCATTAATCGCAGACATCCTGCACATAGTGATGGTGGTCAGATGTGGTCACAAATCTCAAAACGCCACGTTTTCCGGTTTCACTCCTCCATTTCGTTTCCGGCCTTTAAACCCTAGAGAAGCGCATTTGTGTCGACAAATTGTCAGCTGCGGAACATATAATAAAATGGAAAACGACGCCGGTGAATTCGTTGACTTGTACTGCCCGAGGAAGTGGTAAGATTTTATTATTTGAACATTTCGTCCATGTACTATCAGAGGTTTTAATCATCTTCAAACTGCCTAACCTCTCGGTGCACGGCACTCCGCAGTGTTTACTGCATGTTTTGATTTTTTTTAAAAATGTATTTATTCTTGTCTTCCATTTGCGGTTGTATTTTCTTGTAGAAGTTTTCGTTTTCAATATTTTAAATTTTGTGTGTTTTTCTTGTATTGTCATTTCTATAGTCAAAACTTACATGTCTTTGTTTTGTTTGCGGATACTCCTTATTTCTCCTTCTGATTTCTGTCCTAGACCATCCACTCACGATTTCGTTTCTCTTCTCCTTCGCAGCTCGGCCAGCAACAGGATCATCCACGCCAAGGATCACGCCTCCATCCAGTTGGAGATTGTTGATGTCGACCCCACCACCGGCCTCATGCTAGACACCTCCAAGATGTACGCCATCTCTGGAGAAATCAGACGAATGGTATGGCGTTAATATTTCATCAGGCTCCTGGCTTCTGTGTTGAATCAAGTTTTATTAGATATTAGATATTAGATGCAGCAAAAAGTTATTTAAAGGGAATCCTTTAGTTTCCCTTACCACTTTCAGCTGCTAAATTGAATGAAAGGTAAATTAACACTAACTGGGATGTCTGGTTAGGGTCAGTCCCCTTCTCAACAGTACTGTTACGTTATATCATGGAGACATACTAAGCTAGGGAGGCGCAAGGTGGCGCTCGGCGGTACTAGGTCTCGAGCGATCCTGCGAGAGAGAGGTCCGATAGTCTAACCTCTGAGAATTTGAAATAAGCTGTTTTTAGAAAATCAGACCAAAAGTCGTTCTTCTATAGCATTATATGTTATCATAAAAACATTCATCAACCCCGACCACACCGCAGTGTCGGCGCAAAGTGGTTAAGAAAGTCGCCATAGCTGTCTGTCTCACTCCCACAATATCTCGATAGCTGGTACGGGAGCCTGTTTCCGAGTCCAGCCAAGTTCAAAGGCCCATTTCGATCAAAAAAATTAAACGTCGTCAATCCTCGATTCTTCAGGATTACGTGGGTACCAAAACCATGGCGATAGGTGCACCCACAGACCCGTCAAGTGGGTAAGAAGTGTACAATGTCACCAGACCTTGCGACTCCCCTACTTAGTATGTCTCCATGGTTATATTTTCATCATTAAACTTGTTTAAATCAGAAAAACTGCTATGTGGTCTGTCCCACCAGTCAAACCACAAGTTTCTGTGCAACAAAATGATTTTGAGGGGAATCCTTGTGGTTCTGTTTCCACATTTAGTTGCTATAGTAAATGGAAGGCAAATTAACACTAACTAGGATGTCAAGTTAGAGTCAGTCTCCTTCTCCACATCCATCATTATTTGTATGTCTTTAATAGCCTTATGGGTGTATGTTTTCTCATGAGAGTTGTTTCTTTTCCACAGGGTGAATCTGATGACTGCATCATCCGTCTTGCCAAGAAGGATGGTGTTGTTGCCAAGTAAGTTTCAAGCCCTCGCGTTTATAAGTTGGTACCAGTTGATTTACATTGTTCATTTACAATTGGCTGTTTTGTTTCAGGAACTACTAAAGGACTCTAGTTATTTTTCATTTAATAAAAAAAATAAAAACTCAAATTTGTTTACACTTAATTTTTCCTTGCTCCCGTACACACTTCAGCCTTCAAATAACATTTCTGAAAACATTCAAAGACTTCTTCTTGACATGGTTTTATGTTCTGATTGCCTAAACAGAGAGCAATCAGGGTTTTTACAGAATCCCTTCTTTTTTTGTGCGAAAACTATTATTCTTGGAGAAGTTTTTTCCTTGCTGAAAATTTGTAGTGGAGAATACTTTAGATTTGATCATCATGGTGTATGGAGGCCGCATACTTTCGCTTAGTCTGTGTGTCCATGGTCCGATACATTTGTTGTTTACACCATCTCCATTTACTGACGAATGGGGTTTCAACATTGTGAAGAAGGGGGGGTCAATCAGCTTACTGAATAAAATTTTTTTCTAGATCCCTCTTTGAGGTCATGCTAGCGTCTCACGCTTGAAATTAAATAAGAGTTGTCATCACACACGTTCTCTGGGGGGCGGGGGGAAAGGCAGTAGGTTCGGGGGGGTTCGGGTTCGAAAACAGACGAGCAGCTGGGCCGAACTGAAGCCGAAAGCTCTGCATCGGTCAGCTGAAAGTGTTAAATCATGGCGGCGAACGTTGATGAATTACGTGAGTTATTCTTTCATGGAAATCTCGTGTAACTATTTCCTACCACTCAAAATAATTTGTAATCCAAACAACGTTACCGGTCCGTCATCACAAAATCTCAATTACATTGTCATTGAATGACAGTGATTTTAGCCCCTTTGTTTTCGTAAGCCGAAATGATTTAAAACATTGTTTTACACTTTTACTGAAGTATTTTCACGCATTTTATTGATCTCGCGCTCAAAATAATTGTATTGAATTCACCGAACCATTAGAATACTTGTAGTACTACATGTATGAGTACTACATAACCTGTTGATAGATATGAAAGAGTATTCTGGCTGATAAAACAATTAACATATTCTCACAACAATGCAAAACCTTTGTTCAATGTTAAAAATCAGAACACTTCATACATGTGGCATATTATTCCTCAGCTTATAATTATGACATTGCCTTTGTTTATGTTTTTCGTAACGATTGTGGTATGAACCCTTTTTAATTTACTCTCCTGATATTTCTAACTTATTTCATGTCTTGAACAGTCCTCTTGGAGCGTGTATTTCTTCGTATTGGATCAGCTGAATCAGACGAACAGCTTCAAAATGCAGTCAATAAATTCCTGCCTGCTGTTCTTCTCAAATTATCCAGCCCACAGGAAGGAGTTAGGAAAAAGGTATTTATGGTGTACCTTCTTTTCTGTCTCCTATAATTCAGTGTGGCAAAGTTTACATCCCTCTTATGGACATGCTTTTGCTTCAGGTTATGGAACTTTTAGTTCATATCAATAAGAGACTCAAGAGCCGTCCATTAGTCCAGCTTCCTGTTGATTCGCTTCTCGTTCAGTATCAAGACCCTGCTGCAAGTGCATTCATTATTGTGAGTAAATGAATGTCATCAGTCCACAAAACTGTGACCAACACCTCTTTGTCAAATTTTCCTCTTTTTATCATTATTTTGATTAATATTGGAGTTTCTCTGTGCAGAATTTCACAATCATCTATATCAAGTTAGGATATCCAAGACTTGCAAATGACAAAAAGGCTGAACTAGTCCCCATGCTTCTCTCTGCTCTGGATGGGAAACCGTTGCAGCACCGTGATAGGTATGTTCCAAAATCCATGTGAGATAGTCTTTTTTAAAATAGTTTAAGCAACTGACCATTTGCCCTTTGAATTTTTTTTTCAGTCTCTTTCTACTCATCATGCCAGTACTTGGAAATGTTAAAATTCCAAGTGACAAAGCTGTAGTTGAAAAGATGTTCCGGTTTGGTGAGAAACCTCTGCTAGCGAAACAATTTGCAGACTTCATGCTTGACATGCTGCTTCTCCCCTATGGGTAAGAACTGAGCACAGTTCATTTATGCTCTAGCTGTGATCTTTTTTTCATGCTTAATCACTGAATTGTATTAACTGCAGAACAACTCTTCCGTTGCCTGAAGAGCCTGGTGATAATGCAGCTCAATCCAACTTGCCTCCTGGACTGTGTGAATATGCCCTGAAGAGGCTGATTGGAGAAGCACCAATGAAACCCGAGGACTTGGAAGAGGTAGACTCACTTCCACATTTTTAATCTCTTAAAACAGAAATACATAATAATAATAATTTCTTCTGCTCCAGACAAAGCTGGGAATAGTAAAATTTCTTGCATCGGGGGTATACCCAGATTCTGATGTTTTGTGCCATCTAGTGGTTGCATCTGCTGATTCACGGTTCAGTGTAGCCAATTCTGCTGACTTTGAGCTTCGTAAAATAACAGGGTACATACCTGGTTTTAATCATACGAATTGGTATTAGTTGGTACATTAAGGAGCTGGTTTCTATTATGTATATTTTTATCAGGTCCCTTGACTGGTCCAACGTTTCAATGATGCAGCCACTGTTTTCCCTTTACCTTGGGACCCCTGCCTCAAAACCAAATCAACCCAATGCTGTAAAACCAGAGTTGAAAAGAGCTGCTGCTGGAACCCGTCTTCGTTTGAAGTTGTTGCCATGCCTTGTCCGAGCAAAGGGACAAGCTGTCAATTTTCCTCTCTGCATTCAGGTTTGAAAAGTGTCACATTTATCATTTCACTGTTTGTTTTGTGTAAATTTTTGATTGATTACTTTTTTGTTCTCAGGTGTTCTTTGATTCACTCTTCAGTCAAAACACAAATACTCGGCTACGAGGCTTAGCTCTCAATTTTTGTCTGACAGTAATACGCAAGTATGTCCCTTTTTATCAATGTGTTAGTTAGATGTGTACAGACCTAAATGTAAAGAGTTGCATTTGTTTCTTTTCAGTGTGAATCCATCCCTTTTAAGCCATGTTGCACATGTTTTACTTTCTGGTTTGCTGAAACTTTTAGCTGAGGGTGAACCTTCTCTGAAAGGGCAAACGTACAATGTAATTGGTCACCTCGCCATATTTTTCCCTGGACTTGTAAACAAAGATTTACTACTCCTTACCAACTTCTTAGAGTCTTTGGGAAAGGTGTGTTCACAGTCGTGCTGATTTTATGATAATTTCTCTCTTTTGTTATCTTCCTAAATTTTTCTTGCTTTGTTCTTGTATATTTTAGGAGGAAGGTCAGGACCTACGACTGAACATCCGTGAAGCTCTCCTTACTATGGTGGATGCATTCCGTCCTGAGTCAGCCAATAGCACTGCGCATGTTCCTCCATGTAAGGCGGCTACGAATGGATCTGCCACTGCCAACACAGCTTCTTTGTCAAAGGATTCAGCGAGCTCCCCCTCTGTTCTTCCTCCTGAACTCCTACAACTGCAAATGCAAGAGCTCCTCACACGGCAGATAGAAAACCCAGAACCCATGGTTCGTTTTGTTGTTGTCAGATATGCAGCTGTTGCATTTCCACCCGACCATGCTCCTTCAAGATTCTTGCTTCTTTTAGCCAGCGCTGATAGGTATTCGCATCATTAGGTTTCATTGAAACTGCTCTGTACTTTGTGATTGGGAGAAATGGAAATGGGAACTGTGTGCTCTTTTTTTACAGTAAAGAGGAAGTGTCATCAGAGGCCATTTCATCGCTTTTTAAGGTTGAAGAGAAGCCATTCAGTGGTAAAAAACTCAGCAAGGAGGATTTGGATAAGGAATTGGTTCTGCCAGCTTATCCAGACATGGTGAAATACATATGGGAACAAACCCAGGTTTCCAGGTCTGGAGGGAAAAGTCCTTTTTCTCCTGATGCATTTGTACAGGTAATTTCGATTATGAAAAGCCCAGTCATTTAATTGCTTTTACGGAAAAGTTAAAATTAAACATCTCTTTCCATTTTTTTCAGATTGTCAAGTATCTACGCCTTTGTTTGGCTCGTAGTGCAGGTGTTTTTGTTCCAACCAATGAAACTTTAACTCATCCATCAGAATTCACGCCAAATATTGGCCGCTATCTCAAGGAAATTGTGGATACTAAAGCTGAAACAATTGACCACTATCTGGAAATTGTTCATAAATTGTTGTCCACTGCTGCTAGTTAGTAGATATGTCCATTTCAGTCAAATGAATGTTATCTTAATAAGAAAATAAAAATTCATTTTTCTTTATAATCTTTTTTAGGTTCTCTCCCGTTACTAGCCTTGTTGGAGATTGTAGGTTGTATTCCACAGGTGTTAGCACCCAAATTTGTTGATAAACTACCTGTTTTCAAGGTGGGAAAATTGCCTTGTCATTTCATCAAACTAATTGGGGATTTTTATCCCAAAATTCTAATTTTTTATTCAAATGTTGTGATTGTTTAGGACTTGCTGCATCATACTAGTGAAGAAATACGTGATCTGGCAGCCCAAATTTTTGGTATCTTGTCTGCACATGGGCTTAAAATTGAATCTGATTTTGACCGGTGCCTATCTGAACTTGTACATGACACATCAAATAAGAAAACCCTTCTTGAACAGCAACATGGGCAACTCCTTGCAATGGCTCATGCTATTGAACGATCTATTGTTATTTACCGCACTTCTGGCACTAAAGATTCTGCTACACTGAAGAAGTGGCCAACGTATAAAACAGTAATTCTCACCATTTGTAAGTCTTACACTAAACTGTTTCTGTCAAATTTTTTATAGTGTTGGTAGTGCTCTAAAGAACTCCTCTTGATATATTGTTTGTAGACTCGTTTTTGGAAAATTCATCACCTATTTTGGTTGGTGGTGCGTGTTCTGCTTTGGGGCTCTTGGCTCGGTGTGCTGAGCTGCCTTTAACAAGTGGAAAAGGAAGTGATGAAAAAGAGCCAGGGAAATTGGATATCCTTCTCAAGCTCCAATCAATCATGAACAACTCCAAAATTCCAGCAAAGGTAATGAATATGACATGCATTTTATGTTGTCTTCTTCATGTTTGTTTATTTTCTATCTGTCTTCTTATGTTTTTGTAGGTAAAGGAAAGAGCTGTTAAAGCTATTGGGCACATGTGTGTTGGGGAAAGTTTTCCGCATACGAAAGAAGTAATTGAAGGCTTCCTTGCCATGGCAAAAGAGGTATTTTTAATGTCAATTCATTCATTGTTTGCTTGTTTTGTTTTCACAACTTGCTTGCAGTTTTGATCATCTCTAAATGCACACCTTCCCTTTTGCAGAGTAAAGATGTGGAAGTTCATCTTAGTATTGGAGAAGCCCTAGTGTGTTGCGTTCTTGGCCCTTCATCACCAGTTTGTAGAGACCCTTGGACGGTCTTGGAGTCTGAGTTCAAACCGTCTGGAAATGTTGCTGAAGGCGACTTCCAGTGGCTTTTTGACAAACTGTTGAAGAATATGGTCAAAGAACCTCATCCCAATCAGAAACAGGTACAATTGTTTACTCAAACTCTTCAATGCATGAACTCTTTGCTTAAATGTTCCTGTTTTTTCAGGCATGCTGTCTGTGGCTTCTCGCTCTTTTGAAGAATTGCTCCAAGTCGAAAGATATTTCTTCCCGCCTACCTGAGATACAAGCAGCTTTCATGGAGTTCCTTGGTGAAAATAATGGTTTGTAACTTGTCTGTCTTAAGAAGCATCAGGGAAAAGAAGTTAACATTTTGTTTAAGTACGTCTGTTTTGTTTATTGTTAATTTTAATTTTTTATCTTAGACATTGTTCAGGATGCTGCATCTAAAGGACTTGCCCTTGTCTACGAAAGCACTGGACCAGAACATCGTGACAAATTAGTTAGTGAGCTCCTTGACACACTGATGAGTGGTCGAAGAGCAGTTCGGCAAGTCACTGCAGACACTGAAATATTTGCTGAAGGAGAAGTTGGCAAAGCTCCAGGCGGGTGTGTAATGTTTTATTCAATTGCAATTGACCGTTAGATTTACTTTTTCATAATTTGATTTTTATCCTTGCTAGAGGAAATCTATCTACTTACAAGGAGCTGTGTTCCCTTGCATCTGATCTAAATCAACCAGATCTCATTTACAAATTCATGCATCTTGCCAACCACAATGCTGTGTGGAACTCCAAAAAGGTAATTAAAAATATAAAAAAATGTGTTGCAACAACAATGATAACAAATTGTTGGATATATTATATAGTATTTAGCTTTTGAAAAAGAAACAATGTTACCTCTTTAGTTCATTTTCTTTTTTGCAGGGAGCCGCTTTTGGATTTTCCTCTATAGCAGCATCTGCAGGTGACCAGTTATCTGCACATCTTCCTAAAATAGTGCCACGTCTCTACAGGTACCAGTTTGATCCTACTCCAAAAATTCAAAACTCCATGTCAAGCATTTGGCATACATTAGTGCCTGAAACTTCAAAAACTGTAGATAAGTACCACAAAGAAATTTTGGAGGACCTCATTCAAAATCTTACCAGTAACCAATGGCGAGTGAGGCAGTCTTGCTGCCTTGCAGTGGCAGATTTCATTAGAGGCAGCAGCAAGCGATCAATCATGGTGTGTGTTTTCATGAACTGGTAAATAGACATGTATTCAAATACAAGAAATAAAACTGTCTATTGTATGGTTCGTGTTCCAGGATGATCTTGAATCTCTTCCCAACCTTTGGTTGGCACTCTTCAGAGTTATGGATGATGTCCATGATGGGACACGACAGGCTGCCGGAAACACTACCCGTATCCTCAGTAAAGTAAATAAAATTGATTGATTGATTGTCCTTTTGTTTCTGTTTCTCTTTTCAATTTTTTTGGGGGAAAGCTCTAAAAGCCTAAACAATAATGAAGATAGGTTGAGGCATGGGTCAATTGAAACTGCTAACATCCCCCTTTTTTTCTTACATATTTGTAGATATGCATCCGTGCTTCTGATACAAATCAAGGAAAATCAGGGCAAGAAATGGTGAAAACAATTCTTCCGGTGCTGCTTGAGACTGGCATTTGTAATAATGTTTCAGAGGTGCGCTCAATCAGGTCTGTTAATAGGTTTATTCAAGTATTGAAGTTTGTAATTTTTATTGAATTTTCACACAGTAATGCCTTTCCTTAGCTTGCAAGCTGTGTCACAACTGGTGAATGTTGCTGGTGCTCAGCTCAAACCGCATCTTCCTGTCCTACTACCTGCCCTTCTGGAAGCTACAGGCGAGTTAGAGTCAGCTAATTTGGCCTACCTTAGCACCCGTTATGGTGCGGATGCTGACAAACAGGAAATGATTGATTCCGTTCGAGCTGCTGTTGCTAAGTCTCACTACAGCACTGAAACAATGACAAAGGTCTGTCTTGATTCCAAAATTTTGTGGTGTACTTTTATTTAAGGCTAAATTGCTCATTGCTCAAAATTATTCTGCAGTGTCTCCAATATGTTGACTCTGAGATCCTGGAAAAGGTTATCCCACGAATTTCAGAAATGTTAAGAACATCTATTGGCCTTGGCACCAAAGTTGCCACTACTCACCTTATTGTGCTTCTTTCTGGTACTATGAAAATTGAACTTCAACCATATGCAGGTAATGCTGATATTCCACGTATACTTCTCATTTTCATTCATTTTGAGTGTTGTATTAAATGTAATCTTTGTTAATTCAGGAAAGCTGTTAGGTGTCTTAGTGAACGGATTATTAGATCGAAATGGAACAGTTCGAAAATGTTATGCTACAGCCATTGGACATATTGTGAGCTCTGCAAAGGAATCAAGTTTAGAGAAGCTTTTTGCCAAGCTCCAGGATTGGTATTTCCAGAAAGAAGGTAAGCAATTCCAAGCCCCTTTTTACACCAATAATTTCTTTTTAGTCAATTTAAAATCCAGTTTTTTAATTGTTAAATTTTAAGTTGATACTACTTCATTTTCTATATGTTTTTAGATGAAAATGTTCGTTCTGCTATTGGACTGACATTCCGTGCAGTTGCTCAACATAATCAAGACATTCTCATTAATTATATGGACAAGGTTGTTCCACTCACTTTCTTTGCAATGCACAAGAAAAAGACACCAGGTATTTGAAACTGGACCTTTACTCCTTGATTAAAACATTAAATCATGTTTGCCAGAGGAACAGAACCTAACTATATTTATGTATGACCTTTAATTAGAAACAACGGCGGCTGTTGAGGTTTGGGAGGATGTCTGGTCAGAGGCCACACCTGGCACAGAAAGTGCATTGCGGATGCACATGGGCCCTGTGTGCTCACTTCTCAAGGAATCCTTAGAGTCACAGTCATGGACTATTAAAGAACAGGTGATGAATTGTTTCTGTCAGGATATAAGTGCAACTGAAAGAAAATGCTGCCTCTATCCTGGAGCTTTTATTTTTATTGTAGGCTGCTAATGCTATTGGAACTTTGGCAACCAAAATGGGGGCAACATTGCAAGCGAACCAGAGAGCAGAATTAATTGAGATCCTTCTCTTGGGATTGTCGGGCCGAACCTGGCAGGGGAAAGAAAGTCTTCTACAAGCTCTTGCCTCTCTATCTACAAGCTGCCGGTACGGTTTGAAAACTTAGTTTTTGTAATTCTTTGATCTTTCCCATGGTCTTGATATTTTTTCTCTACTTTTAAGGGAGGCTTTGATGCTGCCTGAAAATGCGCAAGTTGTGGAATCCATAGTTAATGCAGTATTAAAAGAGTGCAGGAAGGAACAACCAGATTACAAATTAAAGGCCTTGCCAGCTCTTGCAACCATTCTTCACGCGCTAGAAGTCGACCGTTTTAGTGACTTTTATTCTATTGTCAAGGAATATTTCTCCGAGGTACTTTCTATTCTATTTCATAAAGCTGATTATAATCAGCATATTCATTGATGAAAACTTCTTTCTTTTGTAGCAAAAGGTGGAAGAAGAGGATGAAGAAACTGAGAAAGAAAGCAACAATGCAGACACTGCTGCGGAGAACTCTGCAAAACGTGAGGAATGGATGCAGTTCCGTGAGGTTTCTTTTGAAGCTTTGGGAAAAGCCTGGCCTACAGTTCCTAAAACCCAAGGTCTGACTTACTAGTAAATATGTGCTTTAGTAGAACCAAGGAACAACATTAGTGTGTATCTTGACATTTTCACTTCCCCTGTTTCAGCTGAGTTCCAGTGGGAAGTGCTTCACGCCAGTATGACATGTTTAAAGGATAGCACACGTCAGGTCCAAGGAGCTGTTGTGGGTGCCTTGTCTAGTTTCGTCGACCGACTCAGTGTTTTGGACCCCTCCTCTCCAGTATCCAAAAATGAGTCTGTTGCCTTGGAGCTTTCTAAGATAGTGGGTGAACTTGAGAAAGCTTTACACTTTTCTCTAGGTATGTCATTCAAAATTTATCTGCTCCTCAGAACCTCATTCTTTCTTTTAATTCTTGTTTATATTATTATTATTATCATTATTATTTTGTCCAGGAATTGCCCGAAACACTCGCATTCGCAAGGAATCACTAAATATCCTATTGACCTTAGCCAAGAAGCTCGAGTGTAAGTATCACATGATTCATTAACTTAAAACATCCTTCTATCAACCCTTTTCCAGAAAAGAAATATTCCGTCTTATGTTTTTAGCTTGTGGACACAAGGACCTCAACACTCGTTTAGCATCCTCTTTCTCCGGTACCCTTGTCCAGCTGTCTAAGGATCACACGCCTGAAGTGAAATCCAGAGTGATCGATTTGCGAGAATTCTTGAAGAAATATGAGCCTGAAGCCTAAAGAATTAATTTGTTTTTCTTCCAATAGAACAATAATGTGATAACCTATGACACAGGAAGTTGTAACAAAAAGGTTTTTAATCAACGAATTGCATGATGTAAAGGTCCTACTGCTAAGTGAAATGAAACAGTAATTCATGCAGCTAAATCACATACTCTTTGCTCAATGTTTTTAACTCTTTGGGTCATTGTATGATTTAATTCATATGTATAGGTACATGCACTCTCTTTGGAGGTCTCCTTTGACTTACCAGAGTGTGTTTTTCAGATGTTTTGTACTTGTTTGAAGGAACAATGTACAGTGCTCTGTGATTTTAGTTTGTCCCTTAAGCAATTTAATGATTTATTTAACATGGTAATTCTATGTATACTTGACTGATTTGACTGTAGCAATTGAATTGTTCAAGACAGTTTTATTATCAACTGGTCCTGTGTAGTATATGTACTGACTAAAATAATGTATTTTAGTAGGTGGAAGGGGAAAAAATGCACTGGTCTAAAATTTTAAAAAAATTTAAAAAAATAATAAAAAAGCATGTCAATATTCTTGAGGACTTATTACTTAATCATCTCACCATAGTGCACAGTAATCAATGATAAAAAGGAAAGATATGAATCAGACTGGCTGACTCAGACACGGGTAGAAGCAGAAGGCAATGGAGCAAGCAATATACCAAATATACGATTAGGAGTTGATGAAAATACTGGCCAGTGATGCAGCATCACACCGACTGCCCGTGCCAAAACTGACACTGAATGTCATTCCTCAACTCCAACTCTTCGAGTACATGCTGTGCGGCGCTAGGGCGTGTTTTTCGCCGCGGTCGTGAGCGCGTTCGCGTTCTCGCCTTGCGTCGGGTCGGGGTCGGGGCTGCGTCGGTACCGCACGAGCGGGGCGGTGGGGGTGAGGGGCGTGGAGCGGCGCGTACCTGTTGGGCGAGGTACCGAACTGAGGTACCCGGTGCACAGTGGTTTAAAATCCTGTTTTAGGGGGAATAAAGCGATTTTTCAAAAGTGTCGCGGGGGGCATTCTGGGGGGTGGAAACGAACTATAATACTCCAATACAATATAAAATGACGTTTATAGATTTTTATATGACGCTGGGAGCCACTGGGAAGGGTTTGATTTTAGTCTTTTGTATTTTGATCAAATTCACCTAATTTTCTTAGATGTTTCGTTCCCTTATTTTTCCAACGAGGGCGATGATACTGGTATGTTTGCGTGTTTTTCTTTTCGTTTCATCATTAATCAAAGGAAAGCAGCACACAGCGCAACATTTCGTTCGCGGTTTGGCTCACGGTGGCGGGTTTTTGCTACAAATGCGTTCAACACATTAAAAAACACACTTTTGGAGTTTCGGACATCGATGGGGCGCGATGGGGCGGAGTTATTGGTGCGAGGCGCTTCCCTTACATGTATATTAAGATGCCCCGATGATAACTTTTCCGCACTCGTCCGCAACACGAAACGCAAGGGGACCAACACCACAAAAACGTGCAAAATTGATTAGTTTTGGGGATAATCGCTTCTGGTGTGCACCATTCAAAATGAAAAAAACATCAGTGCAATTGTTTTTCTTTTCAAATATTTTGTTTTTCTTAGTAACAAAATGGTTTAATGCGGCTTAGAAGTTAAAACTAAGTATTTTGAGCACTTTTAGTTTTGCACTTTTTGTCAATTCTGTCATTTTTCTTCTAATTTTGCTTTTTTTCTCATTATTTTAGCATTATAAATCCAATTTTTATCGGACCACTTTTTCCTTTGAACTGGTCTTTGCCTATTGCCTACAGATGATTCAGTTCAATTCTGGTAGCATTTGGTCGCACGGGACGCTTGCTAGGACTTATTCCCCCGAAAATCGCATTTTAAACCACTGTGCGGTGCTGCCGCGGGCCGCAGATGGGGCCCAGGCCGGAGCGGCCGCCCCGCCCCGCCAGTGTAGCTGGTAGCGGCGTGCGGCGGAGGGAGCCCCCGAGACCAGAGCCCAGTCTTGGTCCGCGTGCCGAGAGAGCCACACGTCACGCCCCGCGCCCGGCCGCCCGGCGAAGTGGGTATCGCATCGCGCGTCATTCGAGATTCAATTCGAAGAGCCGCCGCGCGCCGCGCCGCGCACGCACTTCCCCGTGAAAGTCGTGACACCGCGTGCGCGCCGTGCGCCGTGCGCCCCGCCTGGGATTGCAGTGCTCACTTCCCCAGTGCGGAGTGCCGACCCAATCAGGTGATCGGAATCAGCCCGGTCGGATTACCTGCTCTTTGTTCGGCCGACCGGTACAGGCCGAACTGGTGCATCGAGTGATGAGTGTGTGTGCGTGAGTACGCGCGCGTGTGTGGGAGTAGACATGCCTGGATACGCATACGCCGACCTCTGCGACTCCAGCGACACGCTCAGGACGGCCCGGCATCCCCCCAGCAACTCCTTGCGCCTCAGCCTGCGGCCACGGCGGAGGCTGTGCCTGCAACGCCTGCAACGCCATGCCCAAGGACCGCTTGAAAGCCCTGCAGGCGGTGAGTTGAGTACCCGCTGTACCGTGGAGGTACTCCGAGGTACTCGCAGGGATTAGAAGGGGGGGCAGTGTCCACGGCGCACCGGCCGGCTCCAGCCAGCTCCAGCGGGGAGGGGAAGAGGGGGCAGGCCGGGCAGGGTCAGACAGCCGCCGTACGGGCTGTACCTTCTCGAGCACTCGGCCCTGCTCCTCCATGGAACCAGCCTCCACGACCCGGCAGTCCGACACCCAGCCGGTTCGGTCAACGCCAGGAATCATGCCAGTCCCGGCGGCGCTGGGTCCTGCTGCCCTGCTCCTGGGAGGGGAGGGGGAGGGGGCCGAGCTGAAGTAACATCTGACAGAAGAACGCCCCTCTGGCGACCCTCTCCGGGCTGCCGACTGATTCCGAGGCCCTGTCTCTCTCGCACTCGTGGGGCGTTCCGTATAGGTGCGAGAGAGACAGACCGACGAAAAAGCACTCTTGGAATGAGTCTGCAGTGCGGGCCTTGCGGGCCCAGTGGAAGGGAAGTCCAGTCCGGTTCCGATGTTCCGATCGCCGTGGGAGTCTGCTGAGCGTGCACTTCCCCGCCGCCACGCCACTGCCGTGTCAGCCGGAGCGCGGCGTGCGCGGCGGGCGGCCGTGGCTTTGGCATCGACTGAGACTCAGCTCGCCGGGGCGGAGCGCGGAGCGGAGCGGCCGGAGGCTAGTCATGTTTGATTGTAAACACTGCAAAAACGCTGAGCCGGCGAACAATACGTCACCCGTCACCGCACGCGTCCGTTGCGTGTCGCATCGGTGTCGCCGGTTGTGCTCGGTGTCAAGCGAACGCGAGCCTGACGTTTGTCTCGTCACGGCGCAACGGCGCGCACGCGTGACAGTCGTCTTGACACGGCCGTGCTGCGGCTGGCGCGCGCTGGCGCCACCGCCTTGACACACGCCGCCTTGCCCAACAGGCGCAGCCTAACGCGTAGCCGGCCCGCCGGGAACAATATGCGGCAAGCGAGTCTAGTCTGCGACAATTATCTCGAGGCGTTAAGTACAAAAGGCTTTTGTTGGCCTCGAATGGGAGCGCGGCTCGGAGCGCGGTGCAGCCTGTGGCGCACCGCGGCGACCGGCCGGACTGGTCTCTCGGTCTCGGTCTTTGGCGAGGCATTCCCTTGGTGCCTGCACTGGTGGCACTGGTGCTGCAGACTTTCCCGGTCGGTCGCGCCGTGCCGCTCCGCTTTCCGGCCAAGGCGGGCCAAGGCGGGCCAAGCCGCCGCCGAACGTCATCGCCACCATTATCTCGGTGATGCAACGACGGGGTGGCTTACGCCGCATGGCACTGCCGGGCACGGCGCGGCCAGCTTCTGCAGAAAATGGAAAAAACTCGCACCGTCGCGGAAAAGAAACCGATGCGGTCCGCGGCGGGAACGGCGGGGCGGTTCGCCGAGGCTTCGATAATGCATCGCCTGCTTCGCGCTCCGCGCTCCGCATCGGCCGCTATCTGTGTACGTGCCCGGCCCGCGGCGTGCAGCGTGCGGCCCTCCCTCCGCCATCACGCCCGGAAAGGGGCGGGCAGCGCGCATCGCGGAACCAAGCGTGAGCACGGCTCCGGGATGCGTTTCTCGGAACCTGGAACAGACTGGAACTGACTGGAACAGACGCAGCCAGGCGACTACTTCCAGTTCCATAGCTGCCATCCGACTTTTACTCATTCATTCCGTCACCATCGGCGTGGCCCATCCCGTCGGTTGTGGTGAAAACGAACTCCGCTCGCCGAACTGGACTGCTGCTGTTCGGAAGTCCGAAGCCGAAGCCCGCCGTCGTCTCGCTGCTGCCTCCTTCGTGCCCTTTCCTTCCCTCATTGTTTCGCATCCGGACTGCCCGTGCCCCGCGCCGTGCCCCTTGCCTCTGCCTGGTTATTCTCATTCTTATTCGGCGTTCGGCCTGATGGTTGCGCGTTGCGCGGCGTGGCGCTTCGCCGCCTGCATGACCTCCATGGCCCGCTGCCGCTGCCCGCTAGTGCTGGTGCCGGCCGGGCTGGGGCACGGGGGCACGCCTAGCGGCTGGGGCACGCCCCAGGACACACGGACAATGAAGTAGCACGACGCGGCGCCGTCGAGTTTAATCGACGTAGATCGGCCGGGGCAAGCGAGGCAGCCGGCTGATGCCGAGCGCCGCTTTGTCCCGCTGTCTCCCTCGCACTGACGGAGGCCTCCATTCGGGTGCGAGAGAGACAGCGCGACGAGTGCGTTCGGTGGCGGTGCTGACGGCGTCGCCGCCCCGCGGTGCATCACGCCTCCTGTTGCCGAATCGATAAGGCCGGCGATAACGCGATAACGACGCCCCGTCGTCGCCGTTAGTCATCTTGTTCATCAAGGGACGCGTCGCCGTGGCCGCGCCGCCGCACCGCCGCGCGGATCACGCGCTCTGGGAATTCCCTTTATCGGGCTCGCCTTATCCCAGTGGGTCGCCGTCGAAGCCGTCGAGGCCAGGACGACGCGCTGCTCGACGCGCTGCCTCGGCCGGCGGACGCGCAACGCGGTCACCGCACCGCACCGCGCGGAGACGCGAGCGCGGGGCAGGACTGGCAGGGCGGTGCCGTGCTCGAGGAGGCCGCGGAGTGCATGCAGATGGCCGGCGGAGGCACCGGGGCGCTGCGGGGCGCTGCCACGCCTTACGTCGGCTGGCTCTGCTTATCGCTGCGCATCAAGGAGCGGCCCGCGGCGCCGATAAGCGGCGGAGCGGCGATGTGCTTCAATCGCGAGGATCCGCGCCAAACAACGCGCGCCAAACAACGCGCACCACTGCGCGCGGCGCGCCTCGCAGCATTGCTCAAAAGCGGAAACAGAAGGACGACTTCTCGCCGCCGCGGGGGCGTTGCTCGCCGTCGCCCTCAAGCTGGCTCTGCGTGCACTGCGTGCGGTGCTGGCCGCGAGCCTCGCTCTGCAAGTGCGCGACCTCCGCGGTGACTCGCGTCGCCCTCAAGGAGGCCCGTCGCAAGGACGGCCGCTGACCCGCGCACCGCGCACAGCGCCCACCGAAGACGGCAGCTGGAAGCCAAACCAGACCCCCCAACAGACCGGACCCGCTTATGAGATTTGCGGATACTTGCGGTGGCGATTCGGGGTTCGAGTTCGGGGCGTGCCGGCGAGCGGCGCGGACGGCACCGGGCACCGCGAGGCGAGGCGAGGCGTGAGGGGCTTAGGTAACGGCAGCATGCACCGCTCGCTACCCTCTCCACTGCAAGCCACGGCAAGGCACGGCAAGGCACGCCCGAGAAAGTGCCAAACGGTGGGTGCGGCCGGCGGTGCGGCCCTGGGCGCGGGCAGCCCTGCCGTGCCGCCCCTGCCACGCGCCAAGGCCGGGGCGCCTGCGACGGAGGCAACGCGAGTGCACGGGTGCGCGCAGCGCGCTGGTTGCCTACCCGCCGCCAATTCCAACGACTGGCTCGATGGACTCGGACCGCTCTGTGAAAGCCCGTCCAGCATCCTTCGGACTTCGGAGAGTCGTTTTCCGCTCTGTCTCGCTCGCACTCATGGAGCGTCCCGTATAGGTGCGAGAGAGACGGAGCGACGAAAAGGACTCTCGGAATCAGTCCGCTGGGCTGCGCCGCTGCGCCGCTGCGCCGAACTGTGGTTTACTGCCGAGAGAGCGACACATTTGATGCTTTGAAGCGGCGAAGGGAAACCAGCCGGCGTCGGATGGCGTCCTGTCTAGCCCACTGTCTGGGCGGATGGCGTGTGCGGCTTCTCCGCCGAAATGGCCCCACCGCGGTGGTCTCGTCTCGTCGGGACGGCCAGGCCAGGCCAGGGCGGGGCGGGCCGGGGCTGCAGGGCTGGAGGGCTGGAGCAATGGTGGAGAAACGCCGTGCCGCGCCGCTCTGCGCCGCTCTGCCCGCCGTGATGAAAAAGGCACTCGTTGTGCCACCCGCCGCACGACCCGGCCGGGCCGCCAGCCGCGAGGCCAGCCCGCAGCAAAATCGAGCAAAATGGTGCTTGGCGCGGCAGCCGCATTGCCGTTGCCGCATTCCGCGTGGGTGCACTGGCGCTGCTGCAGCCTCCCAGCCTCCCAGGGCCAGAGCCTCGGCCAAAGCCGCTCCGCTACGCCCGCCCGCCCATCGGCCCATCGCTCGTTCCATGCTGGCTCAGCCGAGCGTGTCTGACCGCCGCGCCGTGCCGCGCCGCGCCGTGCCGTCGCGTGTCGTGCACCAATGGGGACAGACTGGCTGGGCTTCCGGTGGCGTCCGCGCCGGATGAACCACAGCGGCGCTCAAAACGTTCAAAATGCCGCGTGGCCCACTTACCCGGGGCGAGGCTTTCCAGCAGGCTGATTCCGAGAGTCGCTCTGTCTCTCTCGCACCTATACGGGACGTCCCATGAGTGCAAGAGCGACGAAGACGACGCTCGGAATCAGTGCGCTGATGGCCTGTCACGTGACGGACTGCACTCCGCGCTCTGCGAATGCGCGAGCTGGTTCGCGTCCCGCCGCTGCAGGCTGATTCCGACCACCGCTTTTGTCGCTGTCTCTCTCACACCCTTGCGGCAAGCCCGTGAGTGCGAGAGAGACAGAGCGACGAAGACGACTCCCGGAATCAGTCTGCTGGTGGCGTTTGTCGGCACGGGCACGCGGAGGCCACGCGCCGCGACGCGCCGGCACTGGCAGTTTGGTGCTTGGCGGAGGATCTGGGGCACGGACGGAAACACTGCGAGCGCAGTGCGGCGCAGTGCAGGCCGACTCCGAACCGCGCTTCCGTCGCTCTGTCTCTCTCGCACTCACGGGGCACCGCGTCGCGGTGCGAGAGAGACACGGTGACGAAGCGCTGTACCTAGTCTAGCAGCGCGGCAGCGTGTCACGATCAACAGCTTGCTCTGGTTGATTGCCTCTGCGAGGTCCTTCGGTGCGCCCCGCCGCCCCGCCGCCCCGCCGCCCCGCCGCCCCGCCGCCCCGCCGCCCCGCCGCCCCGCCGCCCCGCCGCCCCGCCCCCCCGCCGCCCCGCCGCCCCGCCGCCCCGCCGCCCCGCCGCCCCGCCGCCCCGC